GGAAAGAGAGAGAGAAAAAAAAAATTGCAGGAGTCAAGTTTTTTTATAGTTCAATTAGGGTTTTTTTTGGGGGGGGTTTTTAATTAGTAGTAAATTGGATTTTTATTTTAGAGATGATATGTCAAACTTTAAATCCTATAGATTAAATTTGAATGATGTGTCATATGGAGGTGAAAAGTCAAGCATATTATGACAAAGAAAATCAAAGCAGAGGATCCGAATATGATGACAACACAAACATTTACTAAACTAGATGTGACAAATGTACTTGTAAATGACAACACAAACATAAAAGAGAGTTTAGTTTAGTTAATGCTAACAATCTTCTCTCTAACCTTCTCTTTTGGAGGGATAAACCCCAACAAACAACTACAAATTAGCAAGAGAAATTTGACGAGAACGAGAGACCCCTAAGAGGTCATCTACCAAAGCATCATTAGCCCACACAAGAGCATTATCAAAATATCAAATGCCTAAGTCCAGGTTGTAGCTAGACCTAAAGGTGTTTGGGCCAAAAGCAAAAACACACAGGCCCACTTCTTAGAAAGCCCGTAGAGCAAAGGACCTGTGCTTCAAAAATCAAACAGGAAAAGAACCCAGCCCACGTTTTTTCAAAAGGATGGCAAAAATGTAAAAATACACAAAAGAGGGGCAAAATTCGTTCTAAACAAATCAAAGAGAGAAGAAATCGGGCTGGGCCTAGATCATTACCATTTCTCAAAAAGGGCCCAAAAGAAACAAAATTCTGGAAGGAGATACTTTTAGAAGAACCTCACGTGAAGTTTTTTTCTCAGACTTTGAAAAGTCAAATAAATCAACTGCCACAGAGTTGATAAAAGGAAGGGTCAGTAGCTGGCAAAAACTAGGAAGGGACATCTCTGAAATTCGGAAAGATCAAATCCCCTTACATATTAATATATTTCAGAGATATTTCTTCTATAAGTGATTCTCCCGAGAGATAAGCAGACTACAAGCTCGAAAAGAGATAGGCAGGAAAGCAGGGATTTTGTTCAAAGAAATCAAAACTAGCCATCACAGTCTATAAACTCTCACAGGGGGCAGCTAGAATTAAGGAAAAATATTGGGTTTTCTTTCAAAAGAAACAGGGAAGTGATCTTAAGAATTGACAGTTGAGTGCCAGGATTGAATTATTGTATTTCTTGTATCTTTTGAAAGATTTGCCGCCCATTATTAAAAAGAATTACTACCCCACTCCAGATAACATTTCTTATAAATA